ATACCTTGCACAAAAGTCAATTCAAAGTGGATCTTGAGATCAAACAAGAATCTATAAAATACATTGAGGCAAATATATGCAGAATGCTCCAAGATCTGGACCTCAAAGGGTCTTCACTGATACAGTGTCACTGGCAAAGGCAACAGAATCAAAAATAAAAATGGAACTGCTTCAAATTAAATAGTTTTTGCATGGCAAAAAAACCCACGGGCTACAATTCAATCAGCTTAATCAATGGCTGAATAAATAGCAGTGCTCCTACATTATAAAAAATAAAACATGGGCTAAAGCTAAAAGACAGCTTCATGAATGGGAGAAAATATTGTGGTCAACATACCAGATAAAAGGTATATAAAGGTATATAAAAGGTCAACATACCAGATATACAGTATATATAAAGTCCAAAGATCTGCAACCCCCCCCCCAAACTCCATCAAAAATGGGGAGAGTAAATGAACAGAGACTTCTCTGAGAAAGACCAACAGATGGTCAACAGTCACATGAAAAAAATGCTTACTGTCACTTACTAGGGAAATCCAAATTAAGATGAAAATAAAATACCATCACCAGTGAGAATGACACATATCAAAAATAATGGGATGGGGGCTGGAGTGATAGCACAGTGGGTAGGGCGTTTGCTTTACAAGCGGCCTACCTGGGTTCAATTCCCAGCATCCCTTATGGTCCTCCAAGCACCACCAGGAATAATTCCTGAGTGCAGAGCCAGGAGTCACCCCTTGCATCACCAGGTGTGACCAAAAAGCAAAAATAAATAAAAAATAAATAATAATGGGAGCAGTCTGTTTTGGCGGTGATGTGGTGAAAAAGGAATTCATCCACTGCTGGTGAAAATGTCTGATTCAACCCCTATAAAGTAAAATTGTAGGTGATAATGAAATGATAAACTGGAAATGTTGTATAGAAGCTTGACACTTGACACCCCATAGGTTGATGTGCAAAATACAGACATTCAAATATTCCAACACCAATCTCACCACCACTGTCACCTTCCCTCCACCATTGTTTCCAAAATCTCAACCTTCTAGCCTGCCCCTATAGCAGGCCCACAGTCATGTATTTTATATTACTTGTTACCACTAAATGGCTGATGGAATGATACAAAAAATTACTCCAGTAGAAGAAAATCTGTGAAAATTGTTGTATCTCACCATGGGGCATTAAGTCCTTGTCAGAGGGTTTAGTAACCTGCTGTTGCAAGTTAAGCCTTCTGTATTCATGGTTTTGTTAGTGGAGATTAGCGGGCTTCAATGTTATATTCTCATCCTATCTATCTGCTGTGTTCCTACTGAGATGTTAGCATCATAGAAATTCAGAACACTTGACTGGGCAGTCGGGGCAGAGGCATAGAGGCAGCTGTTGGGGTGTGAATGCTTTGATAAGATTGGAATGCAGCCCACCCTGCTCCCGAGATCACCCCGGAGTCTCAGTGGGGACTGGGTATCTGAGAAATTTTTGTGGCTAGTTGTTCACTTTCAAGATTTATTTATGAGTCTCTGGAACAGGGCTGGTCAATGATCTTCCATGGTGACAACAGTGCCATTGTGATTTGATGGGGGGAGCACACCCAGGAGTGCTAGGGATTACTCCTGGCTCTGTACTCAGAAATTACTCCTGGCGGTGCTTGGGGGACCATATGGGATGCTGAGGATTGAACTCAGGTCAGCCGCGTGCAAGGCAAGCATCCTTCCTGCAGTACTGTTGTCCCTGCCCGGGATTTCTTTAAATTTATATTTTTAATTAAATCGCTGAGATACAGTTACAAAGTTTTCATCATCAGGTTCAGTCATACAATGTTCCAACACCCATCCCTCTACCAGTGTACATTTCTCATCACCAATATTCCCTGTATCCCTCCTGCCACCACCAAGGCTCTGTACCATGCCCCCTGCCCCAGCCTACCTCTATGGCAGGTACTTTTCTTCTCTCTCTCTCTCTTTCTCTCTCTCTCTCTCTCTCCCCCCTTTTTCACATTATGGTTTACAATACAGATACTTGTAATATTTTTGCCCATAATGTGGCACCTCAGCATTCATCATAGCCCTCTGCCCTGCTTATCAGTATCTTCCTTCTCTGACATTACATTGCAAGGTCTCAGGGTGGGAGAGAGTATGGCAGATAAGGCTTTTGCCATGCATGTAGCTGACCTGGGTTTAAATCCATGGCACCACAGAGTCCCCTGCCAGGAGTGATCACCAACAAGATTCAGGAGTAAGCCCTGATCCCTTATGTGGTCCTAAAATAAAAAGGAGGGAGGTAAATTAAAAAAGAAATCCTGATCTCATCTACAGTAGAGGGGTTTATTTATTCAACCTTAGCATACAGGTAGTGTCAGACTAACTCATAGTCTTGTGTGAAATAAGTTTATTAACTAGAATACGGTGTTTAGATAACATTGTTTGGGGAATAAAGAAATATCTTAATTTTTAAATTTAGGTACCATGATTTACACTACTGTTAACAGTAACATTTCAAGCATGCAATGTTACACCATACCCACCACCAGAGTGTCAACATTCCTTCACTCTGAGTTCAGAAAGTGTGGGCGTGTGGTCAGTGGCCAAGAATCACCTCCCCAGGCAAGCTGACTATGATGGGTGAACAAGGGAATGAAGGAATGGAGGAACAGGGCCCCAGGCTGGTAATTTTTCTTTCTCTCTTCTCTATTTCAGGGTAGTTATGTAGAAACTGTCAAGGGTTGGGGGTCACATGGGTGGGGTTGAACATTATCATAACAACAAAAAAATAAAGCCCCTCCTTCAGGGGAAGTTCTTCTGGGAGATTAATTCAAGGACAAAATAACATCTGGGGGTTCAGCACTCTAGATTTCTAGGACATTCACTCAAGAGTGGGATTCCATCTAAAGGCATATTGTTTTCTTTTCTTAGCTAGCAACCCATTTAAACAACCATATTGAATACTAATATTCCTAGTCCTTTTGTGAACACAGTAAGAGATCTATTAAGCTCAAATAGTGGCTCTTTCTGGGACATCTTGCTATATATTCCAGGCTACAGTCCTCAGGCCAGGTTAGTCCTTCCCAACGCCAGCAGGGTACTTACTCAGTTACTTCCTTTTGGGTCATGACAGAGTTTGTTAATGACTGTGCTCTTAACATATACTTCTTATGGCACTTAGCTTGTCCCTTTTCTATGCCAGGGTAGCTTACAGCTTGTCCTGGCTTCATCCAAGTCCCTGGGACCCTCCTTTTGGGGGTGTTAGGAGGGGAACTTAAGTTTAAGTCAGGATCCCCAGGAGTAAATATTAATCGGAGTAAATTAACTCCCTTGTTACAAAAGCATAACACCAACTGTATCTATACAAAACGGACATTGCTAAACCATGCAAAGGACATAAGGAAGGAGAAAAGCAATATTATTAGTGCCTGATGGAATTGGGTGTGCCTTGGGAGCACTTTTGGTGGGAATAAACCAGTAAACCTAAACTCCCTGTAGGAGGAGCAAGGACAAACCAATATTATCCAACACTCCACCATTATCTTTAGGTCATATCTCACTTCCTACACCTTTAGTAAATTCAGTTTTGTAGACAAACTCTCAGAATCTGTTGGTGACTTTTTTTATTCCCTTACTATATTTCCTTATACTGTACATATGAAAAACTCAATTCTGTAGGTCAATTTTCAGAATCTGTTATCACTGACTGCTTTTTATTTTTACTAAGTTTCTTTATACTCTACACATGCAAGAGATCATTTGGTATTTGTTCCTTTTGTTTGAGTTCACTTTTATATGTTTACCCTGCAATTCCATTCGCACAGCAGTGAACTGCAGTATTTCATCTTTCCTTATAGCTGAGTAATATTCCATTATGTGTATATACTACTGTATCTTCTTTTGCCATACCCGGTGGTGCTCAGGGTTTATTCTTGGCTCAGTGCTCAGAGGTCACTCCTGTGATGGGGCTGGGGGGGCCATGTTGGATGCTAGGGATCAAAATCAGGTTGACTGAATTCAAGGCAAGGACTCTACCTTCTATTATTTTTCCATTTTTCCATTCTGCCACAGTTTCTTTATCCATTCATTTGTTTTTTGGCATGTGGGTTGTTTCCATATCTTGGATATTGTACTTAGCACTACAATGAATAAAGGTGTGCATATTTTTTTTTTGTTTTTCAGGTCACACCCAGTGATGCACAGGGGTTAATTACTCCTGGCTTTGCACTCAGGAATTACTCCTGGCAGTGCTCAGGGGACCGTATGGGATGCTGGGAATCTAACCTGGGTCGACTGCGTGCAAGGCAGATGCCCTACCCACTGTACTACCACTCCAGCCCCGGTGTGCATATATCTTTTTGAGTTAATATTTTGGGGTTATTGAGTGGACGCCAAGCAATGGAATTGCTGGATCATATGAAAGCTCAATCTTGGTTTTGGAAGTCTTTTTTTAAAGACTTTTTTTTGATAAATGCAACATACAAAGTTTATTTAACAAAAGTAACAAGTAAGGTCAAACAGGCACTTATATTAAGAGAAAAACTAACTAGAGAAATTTTCTCTTTAAACATTTTATCTTAACCTATTGCAGTTGCATTTAACTGAGCTCTGCTGCTGTGAAGAATACAGCTCATGCACAGGTATGATGAATGATTTATACATTTTCAAGTATTCACTGAATACTACCTTATATACACATATACATTCACTGTATCACTGTATCACTGTCATCCCATTGTTAGTCGATTTATTCAAGCAGGTGCCAGTAATGTTTCTATTCTTCCCAGCCCTGAGACTTTAGCTGCCTCTTCTTACTCGTCTTTCCCAATGATTGGAGGCTCTATCAGGGTAAGGGGATTGAGACCTGTTATCGTTACTGTTTTTGGCATATCGAATACGCCACAAGGAGCTTGCCAGGCTCTGCTCATGCAGGCAGGATACTCTCGGTAGCTTGCCGGGCTCTCCGAGAGGCATATACATTAAACTTGAAAAAAAAAAGATTTCATTGACATCTCCAGATATACTTTATTTTTGTTGATCTTTTGCAAGGGGTCGTCTAAAGAGAAGAATATGTGGCTGTGGTTCGTGAATCATGTAATAAACCCAGCTTAGATTCTGCTGAACACCAAGTCTTCTCCATTCCTCTTCAGACATCAAATGAGTTTTAGGTACTTGTTTGGAGAGTTCTCTGGGCAACATGACATGCCGGTAGTCACAGAGCTTGTTGAAGTTCTTGCCTGAGTAGTAGATCTGCTTGTGGGCCATCCCTGTGGTGGCAAGAAGGCAGAATATGAGCGAAGGAGGCATATGTCCTCCCTCCTCAGGGTGAAGCAATGACTCGACCTTTTTTTAAAAAATATTTTAAAAAATTGAATCATTGTGAGATAGAGCCTTACAAAAAGCTGTTCATGGTTAGCTTCCGGTCATATAGTGTTCCAATACCCATCCCTCCACCAGTGTACATTTCCCAGCACCAGTGTGCCCTGTTTCTCTCTCATCACCGCTTCCCCCCCCCCCCAGCCTGCCTCTATGGCAGGTACTTTTCTTCTCTCTCTCTCTCTCTCTCTCTATCTCTATTTTCTTTTGGGCATTGTGGTTTTCAATAAAGGTACTGAAAGGTTATCGTATATCCCTTTACCCAATTTTATTTTACTTTATTTTTTATAATTGTTTTATTTTATAAAGTAGTTCATTTATAAATATAAGTGTTTCATTACATTTAATATTCAAACACCAACAATCATGATTACACCTTACCACCACCATATTTTGGATGTTTCCATCCCAAACCCCAATCCCTGCTCCAAAGCAGAACTGAAATAATATATTTTGTATTGTTTGTTATGAAAAACTGCTGAAAATGCTACAAAAAGTATCTTCAGAGGAAAGAGTGTGGAGATTATTGTATTTCACCCAGGGGCCATTAAGTCCTTCTATAGGGGATCGCTTACATATCATTAAAGGTTGAGCCTTGTGCCTTGTGTGATCTATCTATCTATCTATCTATCTATCTATCTATCTATCTGTAAAAATATGTATATTTTCCTCTAAGATTGGTTGCCTCCTGCTTTGAGCCCTATAAAATGTGGTGTGCCTTTACCCAATTTTAACACTTTGTTCTTGTCCAGTGTGATCATTTCCAACAATTATTGTCATACTGGTCCCTTCTCTATCTTACCTACCCTCTGCCCCCCACACATTTGTGGTAGATTCCAACCGTTTGCCAGTCTTCCTAGCCCCTGTTTTCCCTGGCCTGGAGTATCAGTCTTCTACTATATATTCTTTTATGTACCCTGAATGAATGCAGTCATTCTATATCTGTCTCTCTACTGACTCATTTTACTCGGCATGATACTCTCCATGTTCATTCATTTATAGGCAAATTTCATGACTTCATTTTTCCTAACAGCTGTGTTGTATTCCATTATGTAGATGCCTCATAGTTTCTTTATTTATTCATCTGTTCTTGGGCACTGGAAAAGTCTTTATACTTTTTTCCCCATTTAGGCTGAACCAGATCACATTCCCACCAATGGAAAAGGGTTCTCTCCCCCTCCCCCCACCACCAAAATCCCTGCTAGTACTGATTGTGAGGTGCTGTCTTATTGTTATTTTGATTGTGTTTCCTGATGAAAAACACTTTTACATATACTTAATTTTCATTTATATGTCTTTCTTGGGGCTAGAGCGATAGCACAGCGGTAGGGCAGTTTGCCTTACAAGCAGCCAACATGGCCAACCCGAGTTCGATTCCTCCGCCCCTCTCGGAGAGCCCGGCAAGCTACCGAGAGTATTCGATATGCCAGACACAGTAACAACAAAGTCTCCAATGGAGACGTTACTGGACCCGCTCGAGCAAATCGACGATCAACGGGAGGGCCTTTACCTTTACCTTTATCTGACTGTATGGTTGGCAAGTCCTTGTCTAAGAATTTATTAAACTTTTTGTTGCTTCAGGAGGTATTCAGATATTTCCAGATCTATGGTCTGAGTGGAAGAGTCAACCATGCAGCAGACATGGGTGTGGGTGGGACTGCTGGGGCTTCCAGAAGCATGGGGGTGGGAGAGAAATGCCCACCACGACTCCAGAAAAAAGCACCAGAGTTCTCAGCACGACGCTGGCACCTGAAATTATTCGGAGATTGGCGTCTCTGTGGAGAATATTTGTGAGGCAGTGGAGTTGAGCCCTTGACATAGCTGTAGTGTTGTGATGGGTGCTTCTGCCAGTAAAATTCATTTTTAATTAACTTTTGTGTAAGGTATGAGATAGCAGTCTAATTCTATTCCTTAGTCCTCTCCACTTTTTGTAACACCATTTGTGGAAGAGACTACTTCATGCAACTAGTTCCTTTGTCAATGATTTTGTATACCTGAGGGTCTGTCTCTTGGTTCTCAGTTCTATGGGCCAGATGGTCTGTCTTTATTCACATACTACACAATTTTGATAAATGTATATTTATAGTAAATTTAAATTTATGAGAGAAAGTCTCCCATTCCCCCTGCCCCAGGATTGTTTTGGATATTTGAGGAGATTTATTACTCTGTATAAATTTTAGCATTATTTAGTCTATGAAGCAGACTCTTGAAGAGTGCTGTGGGAATTTTAATGGGTACTGCTTCCAAGCTGTACAATGCTTTGAGTAGGATGATCATTTTTAACAGTGTTAATCCTTCCAACCAATGAAAAGAGATGTGTTTTCATTCACTTGTGTCTTCTTTTATTTTTTAAATAGTGGCATACAGTTTGTATGTTTTTAAACTCCTTTATTGATTACAAGTACATGATTTTAAAACTAACTTTAATTTTATTTATTTATTTTTTCCTTTAAAAATTTTTATTAGTGAAACACCATGAGGTACAGTTGTAGACTTACAAACTTTTGTGCTTGAGTTTCAGTTATACAATGATTGAGTACCCATCCCTCCACCAGTGCCCATTCCTCACTTCCAATGCTCCCAGCACTAACTTCAATTTTATTGGCACCATGATATACAAAGTTGTTCATTTAGAGTTGTTTCAGGGATACACCAATCCCACCATCAGTGTGCCAGGTACTTGACTTTTATGGCATAATTGTGATTTAAAATTTACTTTTCAGGGTTGGAGTAATATTATACACTGGTAGGGTGCTTGCCTTTTCATGACTGACCTGGGTTTGATCTCTGGCATCCCATATAGTCCCCAAGCACTTCCAAGAGTGATTCCTGAGTGTAGATCCAGGAGTAACCCCTGAGTATTGCTGGGTGTGACCCAAAAAACAAAACCAAACAAAAATTTACTTCTCTCTGTTTTCTACCTCACTGAATATAGAAGTGCCACAGATTTCTGCATATTGATTTTGTAGTTGGCCACTTTCCTGTACAGCTTTAATGTTTTTAGGAATTTTTGTGAAGCCATTGGGGTTTTCTATGGATAATGTCATTTGTGAATAATGCTAGTTCTTTTCCAATTTGAATTCCTTAATATCTCTTTCTTGCTTAATTGCTGTGGCAAGGACTTCTATGTTGATTAGTAGTGGTGAGGATGGACATCCTTGTCTTGTTCCCAATCTTAGAGGGAAAGCTTTCAGTTTTTCAGCATCTGAGTATGATAAATAGGCTTGTGGTAAATGACTTTATCTGTGTAGAGGGAAGTTCCTTCTATTCCCATTTTGTTGAAAGTCATTTATATATTTTATAATCATAAATAGGCAATGGATATTGGTAATTGTCTAATGTCTTCTCTGCATTCATTGATATGAGCATATGCTTTTAATCTTTTATTATATTAATACAGTGGCCACATTGACTTGTACATAACACATTTTGGGGAAAAGGAAACATATTTTATTTTATTTATTTATGCTTTTTGGGTTACATCCGGCGATGCACAGCGATTATTCCTAGCTCATGCACTCAGGAATTACTCCTGGCGGTGCTCAGGGGACCTTATGGGATGCTGGGAATCGAACCTGGGTCGGCCATGTGCAAGGCAAATGCCCTACCCGCTGTGCTATTACCCAGCCCCAAGAAAACATTTTGTAAACATAAAGGTATATTTTTGTCTGTATCAAGTTTTTGCAATCCAATGTGTATTTTACACTTTTAGCCCATTACACATAAGACTAGCCACGTTTCAAGTGCTGAATAGCCCTCTGTGATTTAGCAGCTGCTTTCTTGGCAAAGATTTAGAATTCAGGGGACTGGAGCAATAGTACAGCGGGTAGGGCATTTTTCTTGCATGTGGCTGACCCGGATTCGATTCCCAGCATCCCATATGGTCCCCCAAACACCGCCAGGAGTAATCCCTGAGTGCAGAGCCAGGTGTAGCCCCTGTGCATCGCCGGGTGTGACCCAAAAAAGCCAAAAAATTTTAAAAAAGATTCAGAATTCAGCATTTATAATGGTTGTCCTCTTTGGTCTGTGCTTCTCCCTGCATTCCCCTTTATACTGCTTCTCACTGCAAATATAACAAATTCTACTAGATCCTGTGATGGGTTGATTGCAGACACTTGGCTGGTGAGCCACACTGCCCTGCTGACTATGGTTGCCTTCCTTGTACTTCTGGTGCAAAAATATTCACAGGGTTGAGAGGAGGTAGGTACAGTCCTGGTACAAGAATGGGGTTTGGGGGGTACAGACAGGAAGCCAGACTTCGTGTATAAGTCACTTGACACTTATGAATGTCAGTTGCAGGCAGAAGCAGCTAACCAGTCACCTGGCATACTTTACCACCTTAATGGGGCTGCTCTGCCATCTTTATTTGGCCACCGGAAAATTGCTGTTTTGTTCCTTTCTAATTGCTCTTTTTTTGGGGGGGTGGGTGGGGAGACGGCCTTGTTTGACAGTGCTCGGAGCTTACTGGTTTCAGTGCTCATGGGACTATATGTGATGTTGGGGATTGAATCTGGGTCACCTGAGTGCCTGATCCATTGTACTGTTTCTCTGACCCCAGTTGTTTTGATTTGCTTTCAGTGTCAGGGACTGAACCCAGGGACTTACATATGGAAGGGAGGTTATCTGGCCTTGACCTACATCCCTAGCCAGACCTGCTGTTCAGAAAGGGGACCCATCGTTTTGGCTGAGCTTGTGGGCCTAAGCTACAGGTTAGGTAACTGTTAACGTCAGAAAAGTTCAGGGCAAAAGTACTTTTTTGTTTTAAAATGTTCTACCTTAGTGGATAGAGTGATAGGGTCCTTGCTTTGCATGCAGCCAACCTGAGTTTGATCCTTGGCACTCCATTATAGTTCCCTGAACCCCACCAGGAGTCTTCCCTGATCATAAAT